TAGGTTTTCAGGTGGCTCACAGTATTAAATAACAACAACAACATAGGTTTTCAGTTAAAACCTGTATTTGTTATATAATATCAGTCAATGTTTTTTATAATTTTGATGCCTGGTGTTTTTGAATCATCATCATCTAAAATATTTTTACCCACCTTCCTCCTCAAGCAAGGCGCAAGGCAGCGTACATAATTAAAAGACTGTATTTAAAGCTAACAACAGTGAGTACTGCAAAGGATCAAATGCCATACTAAAAAAATGGTAAAATGCATAAATCCTACAAGAAATGAATATATTCATTTCAAAAATCACCAGGACACTGTAGATTTGAACTTAAAACATAAATCCTACAAGAAATGAATATATTCAAACTTAGAGCTTTACAGCCAGCAGCTACAAGCTGTCTCATGGAGGATTCTAGCATTCAGTAGGTGTATTCCAACTATAGAGCCTTCTTCTGCGCATACCAATCCGTCTGGGCCGAACTGAATGATCCTTTACATTTTCTTACCTCTATTTCTTGCAATTGGGAGGAGGATACATTTGTGGGGATGGCATGAACTTCAACTAGTTTATGCTACTCACTGGAACCACTGAGTCAAAACATGAAGAAACAGAGTTTTAGGAGTTACAAGGGGTCTCACATGAATTCATTCTTAAGAACAACCAACAATTATGTTCCAAAACTCTTGAACATTGCCACCAAAGAGGGAAGTAGGAAACACCAAGATGGCCTCATTCCTATTGACAATATTGAGTATTGTCTGGACATATTACATGAAGTCTTGCAGGGATAAGGTACCATCTACTTTGTGCTATACTTCTTTATAATAACACTGATCAACAAAGATGCTACAGAGGGCCGGATACTGCTCAGATTATCTCCTTTGTGAGACTTGCCTACATTACTCTCCCATGTGAATACATACTATAGCTTGTATTCCAAAAATGGGATTTGGAGAACATCACAAGCAAATCATACCAAACTGTTAGTTAATATAATACCAACTTCTGCGAAGCTGTTTGTTTGTTTCAGATTGAATTTGTTTGTTTGTTTGTTTGTTTGTTTGTTTCAGATTGACCTGAGGCTGGATTAATGATAGGAAGTTGTCTTTCATTGGTCAAATGACATTCCTACCTTAAAAAAAAAAGAAATCCATATTTGAAGATTCAGGCAAGATTTTGCCTCTTCAAATGTATTGCCCAGAAAAGAGAGAAAGGAGGGCACATATTTGTATCAAACTTTTATTGTAGACCATCAAGTCATCTCCCACTTATGGTGACTTTCACAAGGTTTTCAAGTAGGTGAGATGTCAAAGGAATGCTACTATCACTACTTTAAAATGAGTTTCTATAGCCAAGCAAAGGTTTGAACCCAGGTCTTCTGACTAAAACACTGTTTACTAGGACACACTGGCTTTCATATGAGACATAAGATAATTGATAGATATGCACACAGATGTCATAATCATCATTGTAATTTAACAGGAATGCCATACCCTTCACCATAGAGGGGAAAACGTAGAACTGAGATTGCTCAGTGTGTTCTCTGGGTGCTGACTGTGAATTTCAAAATCCCTAATCTCCACGTTTATGATTCTTTGTCTTTCATTTCGACTTGGGCAGAGTGCTTTAAAAGACCAGCAACCTTCCAAAAGAAAAAAGAAAAAAAGGGAAGAGTGATGCTTATATACACCACCCCATAGAGTTTAAAGCACTCTTTGGGTGATTTACAATTTAATTATGCAGGCTGCACACCCCCCCCAAGCAAGCTGGGTACTCAATTTACCAACCGCAGAATGATGGAAGGCTGAGTGAGCCTTGAGCTAGGTACCTGGGACTGAACCCAGGCCATGAACAGAGTCTTGGCTGCAGTAGCTACAAGGTGCCATGAAGTGTCACAAGAAATATAAAGAAAAAAAGGGGGGAGGAACATTCTCTGTAAAGCAAGAGACATGACAATCCTAGTTCAGTTCCATACTTAAGTTTTGAATGGTTAAGAATACTCTCAGTAAGATAATTATTTATTACTAATAGGAAAAAAGAGTGGTATTCGGATCATAGTTTCTTTCCTTGAGATAAAACCAGAACCAAGAAGTCAAGGAAGGATAAGCCATCAAATTCAATTCACCTACATTATATTCACAGTTAATAATGTGCTATGAATCTGAAATAACTACATAAAAATCAGCAGAACTCCACCCCGCCCCCAGCAAAATTACTCTGTTATAGTGCAGAGCAGCATGCATTTTGTGGCATTTTTTTAAAAGCCTTTAAAAAAAACATGGCTCTGGGCTGCTTTTCTTTCTGCCTCCAGCTGTGCTGCCGCATGACAATTGCTGTTGGAACATATTCCTATTATGGTTCCTGCCGAAATAAGCCTGGAGCAATTGGACTACCTGTATTCATTGTTGTGTCATATTGTGCCTCGCAACTCATTGTTAATGATCAATAGACCTAGAGTGGCTAATAGGATCTTACTCTCTACAGTCGCTGTGTCACAGGTACGATTAGGCTTCGTATGTCATTTCATTTTGCCTCCACACAAGGCAGCCAAGCTAAAAAATAAAATAAAATAAAATAAAAAGCTAGACCTGCCTGCTTTAATTTAATAGGACACTTTTCAACATTTTTATACATACCATACAACAATACAAAGGAGCGCAAAATATCCCACAATAAACATGGTCTGGAGAAGGAATCCAGAGTTAACTCTTACACTGGCGACTCTAGCTCTCATTTTCTATATGTCCTGAAAATCTAACTGTTTTGGATTTGCAGGAATTTTAGCTACAATGATCGTCATCGTAATCTTAGAACTGCAGAGCTGGAAGGGACTCTATAGATCATTGAGTCCAGCTCCTGTCAAGGAGGCACAGTGGGGAATCGAACTCCCAGCCTCTGGCTCCACAACCAGATGCCTAAGCCACGGAGTGAACTATGATTAATTGAAGGCTGCAGCTTTGGTAGCATGATAGCAGTATGAAAACTAGGTTTCCATTCAGCTTCCTTTGAAGCTACGTAGCTGTCTAGTAAGACGGAAGGAAGCAGAGAGATCTCCAGAGGAGGCTTCACATAGCTAATGAATACACTACATGAATGTAATATTAGAAACCTGTGGGTTCCTCTCTTTCCTTCTAAATGGTAAACCCAGGGGGCAATCAGACAAGCATGTTGCTCTCTGTTTGGTTCACTTTGGTGAACCTTACTTTCCAGCAACCACGTGTGTTTCAAGTAAGAGTGACTGTGAAGAGGGCAGCATGGACCATCACAGCTCTCCCTAGGATCTGCTGAATTCATCACCTCAAGGTCTCCAGTAGACCTGGGGGAGGATATGCTAAAAGGGGACTGGACAGTTGGGAAGAAACAGAGACAGGAAAAGATTTTAAAAAAGGCCGGAGTAGGGAAAAGCCTGGGAGAGGAGGCACCACCAGGAGAAGAGATACAATGCTGTTGTGAACGAGAGGATATAAAGGAAGCTCTGGAGGCAACAGGGGAGGTAGTACCCACTGAGGCAAAAAGGAGCCTGGTGGATGCATCTGTGCAAACAGGGACATGTAAGGAGGAGGAGGAGAGTGAATAAGAGGAGAATTGTGATGACGCTTTATCTGGTCCAGAAACAGAGGCTTCCTAGCTGGCCACCAAGAATCCAGAAGAACTAGAACATCCCAATGATTGGGAGTATATTTCCCTCACCATACTGAGGAAATAGTATGATCAGATAATCTCTCAGCCTGCTTGGTCCACTGTCTAGGTACTAAGTATTGACAGGGAAATTCAAGGTACCTGCTGTACTTCTTAGGTTTTTTAACCTCAAACCAAGATATGGACTGGACAGGTTTTCAAGGAGAACTGGACTCTATAAAGTAGGGCATGGTCTACGAAGTTGGACCTCTTATAATACACTCTGTTAAGTAGAATCTGAGACACTCATTGCTCATAGAAACAGGAAATGGAGCCAATTTTTGTTTTCTGCCATGAAGAATCTTTCTCACCAATATACTATTGCCTCTAATTAAAATGTTGAGTTGTGTTCCTTATAATGCAACAACTCACACAACTGAATTGTGACAAAGAATACAGGTATCTTAACAGTGGAAATCTGCCACTTTGGTTTATGTTATTTATGTATAAATAACAGGATTCTGGCTGGTTATTTTAATCACTTGTATTCTATTAGTTGTATCTTTATGACACATTATTGGTCATAATTCTAGTTAGATTTTTCTGGAGTAATTGAAGTCATGGCAGCAAATTGCAGCTAACTGGCAAAGTGCTGGTTGCATGTCTGATCATATGCCAGTCACACAACCGAGCATGTTATCAAGCATAAAAGCAGCACCTTAATCAGCTGCTGTTGCACTAATTTACATTATTTCACTAATGGGTCTCTGGATATTATATCGATGGATGTACCTTTTCAACTGTTTTGAATCCAATTGTGTTTTGACTTCATTACTTTCTCAATAGCTTGTTTTCTTTTTTAGTTGTATTTGTTTTTTTATTCATGATGTAAACCAAACTGGGTCCCAGTTCTGGGTGAGACGTTTGAAATGCCTCCTTGTATAATACAATTATTGCCATGCAATTCTGTTTCCTTACATTACGTTTTCCAGGAAAACACAATGTTTTATGAAGGGTCATTAAGGAGCTGGACATATCACTGAGGAACTGCCAATCTCCCCGCACATCAGACATTAGTGTGTGTACAGTTCAGTCAGTGCCTGTTCCAAAGGAGAACCATTTGGCATTTTACTGAATATGAGAACATCTAGTATTTTCTAGAGATCATTGCTAGGACTGACCCAGTCAGATCTCATGCAAACCATGATCGTTTGTATGCACATTTCATACCTGGAAAGACTGAACAGGAATTTAAACACCTATAAACTCAATTTTTTTATCTTTATATCTTTTATTTACATATTCAATTTATATCTATGTATCTTTAAGTTAGCATGAATATAACATGATTATTTTTATTTGTTTTCTCTTTCTTCCAGAAAATACAAAAAGCATTCTTATTATGTATGAAGAAGATGCAGAGGAATGGGCACTGTATTTAAAATCAATTTTCAGCCACATTATATTTGAAGACCACATATTGCTTTATAATCTAGAAGCTGCAAGCATTCACGACCTGGAATTGCAGTCTCTGAGATCCTACCAATGCAAAGTGTTGATATTGTCAAGTGAGGTTCTAAAATACCTGAATCTTAACAAGAGACGTTTTCTAGATAAGGTTCTTCAGCCTCCTGAACAAGTGGTTATTTTCCTCTGTGGAATTGAGAATTCAGCCATTGTCTATCAGATACTAAATATTGACCCAAACAATCAATTGATTACTACTGATCAAGATCCAGAGGAATATCTTGCAGTGATTACTGCCATTATTCAACAAGGTAATATTCTTCCTTTCTTCCCTGCTTTTATTCATTTCTTATATATAAAAATCTTTTCAATGTTATCTAGGTAGGGAAAAGCATCTTTGGTGTGATTGTATATATGACAGCAGAAATGTTGGCAGTGTGTGATGTTAGAGTGGACAGAAGTGCAGGCTGTGTTAAACTGTAGATGCATTCACTCTGTAAAATTTGTAAAAATATGTGTCAGTGGGGTATGTTATATGTTAATTTTGCTATCAAAATAAGATTGAAGTCCCTTGATGCATAGTTCCCTAAATCCTTCAGGCATTCTCATTACAATATGAAAAAGTAACTTTTCCAAGCTGTGCATGTGAAGTGAGCATTATGCAATTACCCATCATTGGTATTAAGGATATTGCACTTCTGAACTCATATTTGGCCCAAGGCATTCTGTCCCCCCTCCCCTTAGTGTCTACATAGTAAACTATCTCTGAATAGGGAAAGCTTATTCACGTGATCCTACAGAGGTCACACACTCTAACACATGCACATCTATAACTTAGGGCCATCAATAATCTCCCAATATTCATATGATGCACTGCTCATTCATATGGTTCATCGGTGAAAGTCCATGTAAGTAATTCAAAATTTTCCAACCATACTGAGGAATTCACACGATTTTTTGTCTTAAAATTATGATTCAGCGAGTACAACAGGTGCCAAACATAGCACAGAGGCCCTGTTGTCATAATCTTTCCCATGATAGTAAGATGCTTTTTATTTCTATTTAAACAATAGAAGTTAGCTCTGTTTTGCCTCTTTTCTTATATATTTGCACATGCAAATCCATGTCTTCTTATGGGTTCATTTTTGTTGATGTGTTTCCTCATTTTTGGCAATGTGTAAATGGCCGTCCCACTTGACTCTATGTCTACCATAAACCCCCCTTCTCTCAACAACCTCACCCCCTCCCAAAGAATGCACCCCCAACTTAAATTCTAAGACCTTTTGGGACAAACCTATAAAAACGTATGAGAACTGATATAAGCAACACTGAACCTCTGGGATATAATAGTAACAGTTATATGCTATGAAGTCCATCTGACCTATGTCAGTGACCCTTTCCAGGGCTTTCTAGGTATCCTGAGAAGTTTACCATTCCTTTCATCTTGGGCACCGTGGGACTTGCAACTTGCCCAAGTCCACACAGACTGGCACTTCTCACATGCTCCATCTCTGGCTATGCTGCCAGCTACCTAACTCAGTGAGTGATCAAGCCATGCAATAGGGTGAGGTATATGTTAAAACAGGTAAAGAAAGAAATGTATTGAAGTCTTTGGTCCAACTCAAAATGGAACAATGCGTTCTGAATCTAGGAAGTCCACATTTAGAACCACCCCAACTGTGAATTCACCTTACTTACTAGAAGTAAGAGATTAGCTCAAAACCTTAAGAGGAAAGATGACATTTGAAAGAATTTGAAAGTATAAGAAAATGTATAAAACATTATTTTATCTTCCTGTGACACAGATGGCATGGTTATCAAGGTGGCCATTAATTCTCTGTTTAAGGGTTTTAAAGGAAATCTGCTTGTCTTATACTATTTAAAAGCACAGTAGGAATTTTCTGCTATTTAAGAATGAAAAGCTTGCCAGGTGTGCCGTTCCATTTGCAAAGCAGCCATCCCAGGAGCTGAACATTTGTCTAATGTGTACTGTGTGATGCGTGTTGTACAGATTGTTCAGTAACAACCAGTCCACAGCTTCTTGTTATGGGTTTTTTCTGCCCGTTGGACTCTTGCTGGGAAAATATTGTACATATGAAAGAAACATTTAAAAGTCATTGAATAAGCACTTAGTATGCATGGTCACAAAAACTATCCTTGTTTGTCCCACTTTAATGCTAGAATAGTTTCAATGAAATGCAGGAATGATGGATCCACTGGGTCTCTGAGAAGCTTGCAAAGCACATCATGTACCTCCATTTTCTAGAGTGCATGGCAGTACATAAGGATTTCACAGAAATCATATTCCTTGCCTGCCATTTTAGTTTTGACCCACCAGTATCTAGGGATGGCCTCAGAAACAAAGAGCCATTCAGAGCCAGTTATGTAAGCTTTGGAGTGTCAAACTGCAATACGTTCAGACTATTTGGGTTTTGAGTAATTTGCCCTGTTATTAACAATGCATGGACCAGAATCTACTAGGCAAAAAGAAAGCAAAATGAAATTCTCTCCTATTTGTATCAGGAAAATTCAAAAGGTACAGCTTTTTTTTCAAATCCTGTGCCAAGACAACTATGTCATATGTGTTAAAGGTGATGTGCTGTTAAGAAAAAAAAGAGGTAACAACCTAAGTCTGCGTTAACATGGTTGAACATACAGGGATAAAAGGACCCAAATTTCTAAGAAATAATCAACTTATAATAATAATGTTAGAACTGCAGAGCTGGAAGTGGCTCTATGGATCCTCAAGTCCAGCCCCTGTCAAGGAGCACCGTGGGGAATTCAAGTCCCAGCCTCTGATTCTGCAGAGTGCCTAAACCACTAAGCTATCCAGAAAACTCTTGAGCTTAGGCTGATGAATACTATGAGCAGCCTCTGTGCCTCCAGGCCATAACCACATGATGAGTAGTTGCTGGAACAGGCTCTTTATTGGAGCAACGGAACTTTTAAAGGGCCAACCAGGCCAAACCATAAAATTTAAAACTTTAGGATTCCAGGGTGTTAATGTCACTCCTACAGTCCAGGGGAGGGGGGAGAACTGAGCCCCAACAGAGTCTCTTTATGGAAGGAGCAGAACCTTGCATCCTCTAGCAGTTCTAGGACACCATGCAGGTGTGCCAGGCATGGGGTGCCACAAAAAGGGAGTAGTCTGCTGGCAGTTGGCTGTCCTTGGAGGTGGGTGGTGAAGGCACCTTCTCCTGGTACTCCTTCTGAGTCTCTGCTGGTAGCTGCTGCTTCTAGCTGGACCTGGTTGTCCCCATCTTGGCTGTTCTTCCACAAGCAGACAAATACCTTTCTCTTCAGGTGGGCTTTCCTTAGTGACTGACTGTGTAGGAGACAATAAACAGGATGATTTATATTTTGTTGCTTCTAAATCTGTGTTGTTGTTTTTTGTCTGTGTGTGCTTTTACCTAGACACTTTTAGCAGACTGTTTGTTTAAAATATTTTTATCCCACTTTTCTCCTTAAAAAGGACCCAAGATGGCTTACATTATTAAAAACATAACATTAAAAACAGTAAATTGTTCAAATATTAAAGAAGAATTAATAACATTACAACATGTTTGCTCAAAGTGTCTGCCTGTTTTCTGTTTGAGGATTTTTTTGGGTGACCAAACCCATTAGAGTTCAAGCTACCTCAGGTAAACCTGATTTTCAAATAAGCATATTAGTTAGAAGGAATGATTTCACTCAGTGAAATGAATACAATACAAATGTATTCTTTCATTAGTATTTTCCCCTTTGATTGGGAAGGAGCCCTTAAAGTAGTACTTCTCCTCACTTTTCAAAACCTTTCATTTACATTGCCTCAATAAATCTTTGCAACTCTACTACGACAGACAAAAGCTATTATTTCCAAATTATGGAAAGGCGCTGGTAATCAATTGCCAAAGGTTATCTAGAGAGCTTGTGACTTCACAGGTAGTCCGCAGCCCCAAATGAACTATGGGCAGTTATCTTAAAGATCCCAGTATTGAGTCCAATGCCACGTTGGCACTTAGAATTATTGCCAGAAAGTTTCTCCTTTTTTTGAGTAAATAATTGGAAGATTGATTTGAAAGGAAAGAAAAAACATGCATTGATTTGGATTCCTACAATGAATGGGGAGTTGGAGTCAATGGCCTTATAGGCTTTTTCCAACTCAGTTATTCTATGATTCTATGTGATGAGAGATTATGGAAAACTGGGATTAAGCAATGCACATATGACATTTTAAAAATGCCTTTTTAACTGTATTTTCAGAAACTAAGCTTGGGGTATGGCAGTGGAACTATTTGATTTCTTCTTCTGATGAACATCATGCCATCAAGAAAATATTCTGGATGGAAGTAGTGTAGAGTTCACTTTATCTGCAGGATTATTTTGCTGGAATAAAGCCATCAGGGATCATTTCTGTGTGTGCTTGAGATCTACGCTCCATATTAAAGCAGATATTGGTACTAAATCTGCACTGATGTGAGGTTTAAGAAGCTTCCATGGCTGGCAAATACATTGCCAGATATTCTAATATGTATTGACAGTACTAAGGCTTGTAATGATTGCTTCTCCACAGTCCTTCTGTTTGAGAACTGCAGTTTTGAGACTGAAATCCTGTGTACATTTACTTGGGAATAAGTCCTAATGAACACAGCAGGGTCTCCTTGTCTGTAGCTATGTGCAATCTTGTGCCAGCAGATAAACACACCCTGCATACATGTTTCTAGTTGCTTCTGGAGTTTTACCTGACTCGTGCCAAATAAATGTTTGCAATCCATGATTTCAATGCAGCTCTTACAGTGTGAAGTCCCTTCCTATTGTCACTTCTGAAATGCCTATGAGAAAGAAAATAAGTGGAACTAGTTCCAGGTTTGAGAAGGCTGGAAATGTTTTTTTCCCCCAGTGGTGGCCCTGCCAGTCTTCTCTGGCTGCAGTGATAGCAAACATACTTTGCTGTCCACAATGACCAGCTCGTTCAATATAACCTGTAAATTCTCCATGACCAGAGCTTTGAAATTTGCTTTTTAAGAATCTTCCCGTCAGAATCTTCCAGCCAGCCAGCCAACCAGTTAGCATAGCTATGGGAACTGTAATCCCAAAAGCAATATTGACAAGCTCTACACCAGAGACGAGCACAACCTGAACCACGACCCAGGAAGAAACACGAATTGGGCTGGTCTGTGGTTTGGTTCATGGTCCAGAGATTCCGTATTGCCAAAGCAAAATGAAGTGAAGTGCCAAACTTCCCACCATCACCCCACAGTGCTTTGTTTTGCTTTGGAAAAATGGGATGCCCGCCGCTCCCCCTGCCTCCAACACCTCCCTACCTTGTATT